AGGTCTGAGAAGTTCTCTGTAACAAACTCCCTTGCAGTTCCAAAGGAAAAGGAAAACCCAAACAATATCCTATGTCCTACATGCAGTGCACTAAAAAGGCTTGCCAAGCACAGCAAGTTTTTCTTCAAACATGCAGAGAGCTGTGCCTTAGGCTGTGGAAAATTGTGGAGCCTTTAAAAAGTCATTTGTCCTTTTCCACACATCCCCATCCACTCCCTTTCAGGTTTGTATTAATCAACAGCAGAAAAGTGTCACACAGTTTAGTAGCTGCTGTATTTAGAACAGAAACCAGCACGGAATGCCACGTGAGGTCTATTTTAGAATGTTGAACCTGCAAACATATGTGTTTTGTAAAATAATTAGGAAGAAACAGGACAAAATTACATTATAATTTATCCTAACCGAGACCAGTGCGTATTCTAAAAGCTGTTTATTTTAGAAATACTTTGGTTCTTCCATTAGATGAGAGTATAGCTTGTGTCATCATTTTTTCCAAGTGTGTGCATGGGCCACTGTAGCTACTGTGGAAAGAAAAAACAGGTTGTATTTTTGATTCCTGAAGAGCAAGGACAAAACTCCTCCATTTTAAAATGAGGGGCGTAGGATGCCTTCTGGCTTCCAGAAAAAAATGATATTAAGAGTGTGGTCAGATGTTTGGCATTGGAAGTAAGGTTTTTCTGAACATCTACTTTCTCTTTTTGAAACCACAGCTCAATGATGACTGTGAAGATTAGGGTGTGGGGCTCCCCCTCACCATTTTTTGCCTTTGGTTATTTTGTCCTGGCTTCTGGAAAGAAGTGTGGACAGAAACTAGTGCTCCTGTGGCAAGGAGTCTTGCCTATGGGCATGGATCTGAAAGCAAAGATGGAATTCCTCAGTAGAGCTTTTGTTGCTTACTTGGTATGCATGTGCTGGAGAAACCAGAAAAATGTTACCTTTCTTTTTCTTTTTTTTTTTCCTTTTAAAATTTTGGGCTGGCAACTCAGTTTCTTCTCTCTGACAGTGTAGGGTATCCCCCACCCCCTCTTCTACTCTCCAGAAAAGTAATTTGTATTTTTAATTCCAGGAAAGTTTGGAGTTATGTTGCAGGTTCCAAGTTCAACTGTGGGTTTTAAATAGTCCTGACAATTGGAAGAGTTTCCTTAACTGTAAAGCTCTGACTAGCTTCTACTTTCTATTTGCAGTAGCAGAGTATTGGCACATATTTCCTAAGTCTTTCAAAGCCCAGCCTCACCCCTTTATTTCTCTTATCACCTCTTCTGGTGTATTTTGTGAAGAGGGAGCAGGAGTGTATTGCTAATCATCCTCCAGTGTTTTCTTGGTAGCTCTTCAGAAAAAAAAGAAATTAAAAGTACATGTAGAAATAAAAATAAATTCTCTTTAGTGCCATTCAGATAGTTATCAAGTTGAATGGGACCCTCTTCTGAATCAGAGAAATATTACAGGCTTCTAGACTGTCTTCTAGAACTCTAGACACTCTTCTTGAACTCAGTCTTGTAGACCTGAGAGTTTACTTGGTGGACATGGCCTGTAAGGAGGATGGGTGATGTCTTTTGAAGGTGGAAGGGGGTTCACTTGTGTTTGATTCACCTCAGAAGAGGAATATTGCAACACTTGCTGCTTGGGGTTGAGCCTTAAATAGGGCCACGTGTTTCCTTCTTCTTTTGAGCAAGAAATAATGGTGTTTGAGATGAATTATCTAGTTTTCTAGAGGTCTTTGTGACAGCACATGTATTCCATCCTAGCTTTTAAATAGTTTTGATATGGTTCTTATGTTCTTGCACATGGTCAAAAAATAAGTCTGCTTCTAAAATGTGTTCTGGTCCCAAAAAATTCCTTGTGAGTCATATTATTTTTTTAATATCTAAAAGGGCTGGTGCTATGGCTTTGAAAGGTTAGCTGTCTAAATTTTCTTCCTTTGTCCTTAAAAATTTGGATGGTTTGTTAGATTTCTCTATTAAACTACAGTAAAAATAGCTATTTTGTCCTTATTAAATATTTTGGATAGAGTGGCATTATTATAGGATGATGAAAAATGCTTTTGGTTTTGAGATTAGAAGAGAAGTTTGCTGATCAAATAGAAAATCACCATGTCTTTTCCTTCTTTTTTTTCTAAAGCATTTGTGGGGCTTTTCTTCCTCCTTTTCTGAGACCGAGGAGACCGTTCTCTAAACTTTTTAATGGGATCAAATCAACTTAATGTGGAGCATGGTGTTTGATGATAAAGTTGATTGCTTACACCCAGCTTGGATTTGAGCAAGCTTAGTGGTCCTTTGGAATACACTGAGTGCAAATGCAGCTTATACAGTTTCAGCTTGGCTGCATCTCAAGTTCAATTTGGTACAATGCAGCCCTTGTGCTATTGTAAAGCCTTTGAACTGAACATCTCCTCCTATATTTATCTACTATGTAAGCAATTGATTTCTTTTTTTTTTAGGGTTTTAGCCAAATAGTTTTTGAAAAATCAAGAAAATTGGCTTCTTTAACACTGTTCATTTGTTACTGTGTTACACTTGCATAACAACTTTAATTTTCACCATTTCCTTCACTAAATTACAGTGGCCCTCAGTTTATCCCAGTGGTTCTGTTGTTGGCCCCCAAAGAGAGTTTAAATCTCCTACCAAAGCCTTTTGTGTGCATCTGAAATGCCATATTCACTCAGTAACCCAAAACTGAATGTCTTTTTTTTATTTCAGAGTTGTGGATGGTCTTATTTTCCCTTTTCTTCTCCCCTGCCCCAAATGAAAAACAGGAGAGCTGAGGACTACAGATATTAGATTTAATTTTCTGCATCCTTGCTTAACTACCACCAAAATTTCTGTGCATGGTAGCAAGGGCTGAAAGTGCTTTACTCCACCACTGATTCTTCTGTTAGCTCTTGGTGATGCTCTTGTAAAATATTCTGGTAGTCCATTCTTTTTGATACAGTAGTACAGGAAGTGGATGAAATAAAAGAGAACCTTAAATAAAAAAGAAGAAATTTCTGAAGTGTTCTATCATGCCATGAAATTAAAAGGTTAAGAGTCCTGTTCAGAAGTCTGTGCACCTTCACAAGTAGAAACTTTATTCTGAAATCCTGCAGGGTCCTCAAGCAGTGGGGGTTGAAGGTTGAGGTCACAGAATGTGAAAGGGAATAAATACAGGAGTGTGGACCCAAATAGTGAATAAAATGCACTTCTTCCACTTTGGAATAGTTACCACTAACGTGCACCTAATAGCATTAGATCTTCTCCTGGTAATTATTGATTGCTTTTTAACTACAGGGCAAATTGTCAAGATTTTCTCAAAGTAGTGCTAATCATGAAAATTCAGCTTTGAATTCATAGTCCCAACTGGAAAATGGACAAATGAGGCTTCAGATTGTCTCATGAAATGCATTTTTACCATCCTTGATTGTCAGCTAAAATGTGTACTTTACAAGGCTAAGTACTGTTCAGCACAGCTCTGATTATTATACATTTTCTTCTGCAGCTCCAGATAAAAGCCTTTGATTCTGCTCAAATAGAAGCCTTTGATTCTGCTCAAGTCCTTGAAAAATAAAGCCAGTTGTTACTGTTGTGAAGGTTTAGCTGTGGATGGCTCAGATGCCCCAAATTGTTGGGCCAAGAGCTGTGGAAGCGTTCCCCTTGACTGCCCCGCTGATGGCTTGGTTCAGTTGTTGTGGCCAAGTCTGCTCTGCTCAGTTGGAAGACATTTCTGCTGTTGGCTTTGGGGAAGTCTCTAGGTTCAAATTTGTGTTGAGAAGCTCTTGAATCAATTCTACACTGCTCAGAGTGCCAATTCTATGTTGATGATTCTCTATGCCTATACTATTTTTTTCCTTGAATATGTGTACAAATATGAGTGAAAACACAACACAAAATAGCTTTTCTTCTCCTTCTCCCTCTTAAAAATGTCTGGTTTACAGTAATTGAACCAGATGCTGGCAAAGTCCACAGTTAACATTAGAAATATAATAGCTATTAATCTTTTGGACCTCTTGTTCTCCCATTTCCTCAATTGTCATTGAGTATTTGCCCAAAAATACTTTGTTGCAGCTGGAAGGCTTTGCTGGTAGCTGTGTAGTGGATTGGGGGCACTCAAAAGGCTGTCAGCAAAGTGAAAAGCAGGGAGGAGGTGGAGGGAATATTGAAATTGCTTGTTTTTCATATTATTTTAGCTGTTCTTTTTCAGTAGTTTTATGAGTTCAGAGGACACCTTGAGATCTGACCTGTAATTATTTCATATTTCATAGGTAGCCATGCTGCTTAAGAAAATACATCATACACTGTCAGTACTCCTAAAGAATGTAGTTTGAAGAGAAGAATATTTTTACCTGCTTTCTTTTCCCCTAGCCCTGAGAGTACATTTCTGGGTGTTTATTAAATAGCATCTGCTATTGACTGCTGTGAATGGTGCTTGGAAAAGTGATTGAGTTAAATACCAGCAATAACATGGGGACAGACTGACCAAACCTACCTGCCTTGTAGAGTAAAGAGGTAGATTTAGATTTCCTGTTACACAGTGTGTCATTTTTTGGAAGCTGAGAATGGTATTTTTGCTGCCTTGCATCTGACAGAGTTTTTTGCTTTGATGCTTTGTTAGTTTTTTTAAAAAAGAAATGACTTGAGCACTTTTTTGACTGTTTGGTGGGCACAAACCAGTGTTGTGATGAGTAGTGTAACAAGTTTTTTGAGCTTGAACTTTGTCTTTTTTGCTGAGATGGATAAAAAATTGGGTGAATGTTTTATTATTTGAATTGCAACATGCCTTTTGTCTAACTGGCAAAAGACTAAACAGCTTTCTTTCAAGCATTTGAGCAAAAGTGTGCTGACTTGATGGGAAATGGCCATTATTAGGAAAAATACTGTAGAACAAGGTGCAATTATTTTGTGCCAATTTGTATCTATTAGCAAATAGGACCAGAAGCTTGTCATACTACAAAGAATAACAAGCACCATTTCCAGTGAATGTAGGTGCTGCTTTTGTAGCACCAGTAACACTTTTTTTTTTCCCTTTAGGTTCTTGATTATTACAGACCATTTGCTGAAATGTCCAGAGTTGGTAGAAGCCCTTTATGCCAAACTGAGCAATCAAGAAAGGTAACCCCAAAAACCAATGTGGCTTTTAGTATTTAGCATTCCATATAGAGTATCCTGTTCACATGATTGAAAAACTGTGTGGTTTCATAGTTGGCACAAAATCTCTAAATACATGTTTCTATGTCAGTAATGGTTTTAAATTGGTTGGTTAACATTACAGCTCAGCCACAACTGGCAGTGATTTATGTAGGGTTGCAGAATCCAGGTTGGCGCCATTACTCAGTCAAGAAATACTTGAAAAAGGAAAAAAAAAAAAAGACAACATTTTATGCCTGTGTCTTGATTTCATAAGAGCACCACACCCTGCAGTGTTTTACAGCTGTATTTGAAATGGCCTCAGCTGTTCATGTGCCTGGTGTAATTGCTAGAAATGAAAATGAAGTCTTCAGTGAAGTTGGAAGTGTCTAATCCTGGGTAGCTGAACCTGAAAAACAGAGATGTGGAGATGTCCATGATTACTTAATCCTTCACTGTTTCCACTACTGAAAATTCACAGTGCTTCAACAGAGCTTCACTTTGATAGACACTAACTCAATTTTCTTCAAGCATTGGAGTAAATGTAGGGTGAATTGCATGAGAACTGGCCTTTGGAGTAATTGGGAAAATGCTTATTTACAATTGCTTTAACAGAGAAAGTTATCAGTCCCAGGAGTTCTGCAAATCAAGGGAACTCAGTTAAAACAATGACAGCAGAGTTTCTGATGAATTTGATCCTACTGAATTTACTGTCAGACGTGTGGAAGTGGTGTAGAAATAGTCCTTTGTGCAGCTGAGCTATAGGAGAAAACCCTAGTGTGACATCTTCCTATATTTGAGCTATATGAGGAGACAAATCCAATTCAGATAAAAGCATTTTGACTGTCATTAATGGGAGGAGAAAAGTAACTGCATAAACCAAAGCAAAGGGAACTCTTTGTTTCAAGCCTTCCCCACAAGAGCTGCTGCCTTGGGTGTCCAGTGAGGCTGAGTAAGTCATTTACAGGAGGAAGGGACAGATGTGGTGTTGAGGTGTCTGGGAAAAGCAGCTTGAGCTCATGGTACCTCTCAGTGACAGTATTCCCTGTCCTGCATGTTAAATACACTTTAAATGTATTTACTGAAATGACATTAGCTATGGTGAGAAGGTTTGCAAATACATCCATCAGTGGTGGCTCTTCAAGTTGGCAGTTGCCTGAGATAACCAAAGCATATACATTTGCATAACCACAGTTATTTGCACTATTCACACTATTCAGAGTATTTCCTGGAATTGCCATCCAGTCTATTTGTGACACAGTGGCCACGGTGTGTGTCATGAGGTTGTTGTTGTAGAAGTGGATCTGGAGTCTGATTTTTCCAATTCAAATCAAATTCCTGACTTGTGGACACCTTTCTCTTTCATTTCCAAACAAATTTAAGCCCTCTGGTGTCTCATGTCTGAGTTCACAAATGGCCTGTAATCAATTCTGTGATAACAGGATCAGCTTTTTAAATGTTCTGGCTTCAAAAGCATGTGGTGATGTGACCTGCTCTGTTGTTTCTCTGCAAGTGATTATTGCAGAAGCATTTGGATACAGTATTGAGCCAAAAGATTGTAGATTCTTGAATTCTTTGTCACATTTGAGACTTCTCTGCACATGTGTGCAAGCATTTGGTAGAAGTATTCAGAAAGAAGCCTGCTTTGCTTTAATCCAAGTTAGCCTTGAGCAAGCACAATTTAAGTTAATGCCTTGATAATCCTAATTACATTATAAAATCTTCAAAATGAGTACACCTCTGTTGTGCCTTCGAAGAAGGGGTCTCACTTTAAGTAACAGCAACAAAAATGCAACTGAATAGCTTCAGGTGTTCTTAAGATGCTCACCTACTTCCATCTTTATTTTTCACTCCTGTGGTATTTCATGCAGAGTGTTCTCAGTGGATGATGTGTGGCCATTGATCAAATCACCAGCTGGGAAAAGAGCCCTCAAGTAGTGTAAGCAGCACCACTTCTTGCTCAGGTTCAGCTACAGGGCTGCTAATGCCAATGTTGGGAGGGAGTTTTGTTCTTGGCAACACTGGCAGACACAGAAGAGCTGAAGGTGGCACAAATTTACCCATTTTCATTTGATAGGATGCTTACAAATATCATTCAAAGAGGAAAGGATCAAAAGTTTTGAGGATGGATCTAATTTATCTATCAGTGAAGTGTTCCAGACAAGAGAAGCCTCAATCAGAAACAGAATGTCCCAAGTGTCTGGCATTTGCTAAAAAGATATAAACCAAGCTTGCTTGATACAAAAGTTGGTTGATGATAATAAAATTGATAGAATTTTACATTCTTTTTAGACAGGTGCAGCAATTTATTTTATAATAATGAGTTTCCAGATTTAAAGTGTGGTTTATTTGCAGACTATAGGGGACAGCAACGTGTTCTACTTAAAACTGCAAATACTCCTTAGTAGTTGTTCTAATTCTTGATAATTTGGTCAGCTTCAAGAAGAACTGGTTTAAATTTGACTGGGGGAAAAAAAAAAGCAAGTGATTAACAAAAAGTCTTCTGAGGTGGTGCCTAAAGAGATGGAAAATGACACTTAGGGCACCATCATTTCCAAATATAAATATTATATACAAAATTATGGTTTAGATATTGAACTGTTACAAAAATTTGAGATGAGATGTGCTAAAACTGGTACTAACAGTTGTCATGGCTTTTAGCTGTAGGCAAACAAGCAGGAACAAACTGTCATCTGAGTGGTTAAACAGTTGTGAGATCATTTAAAATAAACTAGTGAGTTGCATTGCCTGTGAGAACTGGCTTGGAAAAATAGAGTTGTCTTGGAAGAAAACTGAGAGAAGCAATAGAATAAAGGAATATAAAGGAAACACACACCAGAACAAAAATTTGTTTCTCTCAGGAAATTGCTTGAAATTCAGGGGAAAGATGGGATGTCCTGAATGTCTGCCTGGGAGGAAACTCAGGGAAACATTTAAACATAAATGCCTAAAGAGAAGAGAAAACTTTGAAAGAAATTGGCATACAGGTGGTATTTTAATGTCTTGCCTGTCTCTCTGGAAGGGTTGTGGTTGACTAAAAGGGCACACAATTGCAAGAGGAAGAGCAAGGCAAAAAAATTCTTTATTGGCAACAATTTAATCTCACTAATATAATTTATTGAAGTATATGGTGACATTGGCATAGAGGTGGTATTTTAATGTCTTGCCTATCTCTCTGGAAGGGTTGTGGTTGTCTAAAAGGGCACACAATTATATTGCAAGAGGAAGAGCAATGCAAAAAAATTCTTTATTGGCAACAATTTAATCTGATTAATATAATTTATTGAAGTATATGGTGACCCTCCAACTTCTTTACAGGATTCCTTGTCATTTCTAAATGCATAATACCTATTTACCTAATTATTGGTGCAACACTAGCTTGCTAGAATAATTCTATTGATTTTTTAATTTTAATTTATTTTTTATTATCTATTTCTGTGCTATATATTTATATTTTATTGGAACAGGTCCTGCAATCATGAAGTCTGTGTGTAGCCTGTTTTGTTAGCTGAGCATATGCTTGAAAGGCTCTGAACTTGGTAAAAAACTGGCATGTAAAATCCAGCTCTGTCTTAGGGATGAATGACGTGTCATTTTGTGCTACCACATTTCAAAAGCTTTTTGTCCTCCTTCAGATCCTTGTTTAATACACCTATATCAGTGACATTGAGGGTTGAGCTCAGCAAGAGCTGAGTAACTGTTCTGTGATGAGGATGAGTGGGTCCTTGGAGGTTAATAAAGCAGCAGCCATGGTTTTTCCACAGAAAAAAGACATTTCTCTTCTCTTTTTGATGACCTGCTTGGTAAATTTCAAAAAGGAAGAAGCAGCATCTGAACTATTCCACGTGTTTAAATGTCAGCCCTTCCATCTGAATTGCAAATCTTTTAGGGAAAGCAAACCCTCAGCCTGCTCTTGAATTCATTCAATAAATACTTCTCTGTGAGGCTGGGAGAGCTGCAGTGGGACTCTGCTAACCCACCTGCTCCTCTGGGCTGGGGCTGGACAGGGGAAACTGGAGCAGAACCTCTGCCACCTTAAAAGTTCTGCTTCCACAACATGCTCCCAGCTTGCCCTGACAACATGAGAGGATATCACAAATAAAACAACATGAAAGCTGTTAAAAGAAATGACCCAAGTACGTTTTATAGAGCAGCTTCATTACCTATCCACTTTCTTGCTTCCTTGTTTCATACACTGAGTAACTCTTGCTGAGTGTATGAGTAATTAACTTGGATTTGCTGTAGTCAGTCTAGAGGCATTTATAAAACAGCTTTAAAGAACCAGGCATACATGGAATTTTTTATTTCCCCTGCTTCTGCTCAGAATTTGTGTGGGGTTGGGGAGGAGAATTAGGGAAGGACTGCGTGCAGGGCAAGGGCTGTGAAGAGGTGGTGTTTGCAAATGGAAAGCTGTCAAATAGTCTGTGTTTGTTTTGCAGACCTTAACAACAGCTTTTAAGAGCTGTTTTGGGGGAAATTTTAGACCTATGGACTATGCAGCCGCAGTAATGTTGTGTTAGGACACAAGAAATTAGAAATTGAAATAGACCTGAGGAAAATATTGACTTGACTGTCTGGCCAGATTGTATTAATTAAATGCTGAATTGGATTAACAGTGTGCAGAAGTAAAGCAGTGCACAGGAACTGATTGTCAGTGTTGTAAGACTTCTTCAGTTTTAAAAATCAGCTCTGTTACTTACATACTAATTGTTTGTATCATGAATTTGATTAACAAGTTGTTTTCTGATTCTAGGGTTACTTTTTTAGAGCTAATGATGGCAAAAGTAAGTGAGAAGAACCCAGCTACCAGTGAGGAAATGAATTTATTCATGAGACTTGCTGACTTCCTTGCAGGCTGTTTCCAAGAGAAGTGTCAAGTTGTGCTCAAGTTCACTTCTGGAGCAGATGCAGGAGATGAGGTATGACTGATAAAAAACATTATCCTACTAGGACATGAAGTGGTGAATCTTCATGGCCACTGTTTCCCTAGTGGCATTTGTCTACATTCCAAGTTTACTTTATATTG